CGTATTTTCGGAAAATTGTCTTCCCGACATTTTTATTTTTCTGGGTTGATCAAAAATTTATGCATTATTATTGGCTGTTTTTATCATAACCAAATCGGGTGGGGTTACCATCATTCACTTTTATTTCTTTTGTGAATGTATTCTATATCGATATTCAAAGTATTAAATTAATAATTAATTGAAAATTACAAAAATATTCAAAATTTAAAAATTATCAGATACATGTATATCAAGAAAAATAAATTCATCACTCACTTGTGCAGCATTACGAGTGAGACCAAGATATATCAAAACCAAGAGAAAGTTTTTTAATAGAAAGTTGATTTTTTTCAATATGATCTAAAACTTTAATAGTGTTTTACGTGTATTTTCTTTAGCAAATTGAATAATTCCATTAAACATGGCTGATTGATATAGATAATAAGATCGAGAACAACTTTGATTTGTAATTCCAATTAATGTTAATGACAATGCTGTTTGAAAAGCCTGTCGATTCATTCCATCTGCTAATGTGGCACCAGTTACCAAATGCGAAGTATTAATTTGATGATACATGAATTTTTTATATTCTAAAATAGAATTATCACATGAAGCACATGGACTAGAAAGAATAAGTGACAAATACTGTTGTGTATTGACGAACAAAGTTGTGCCTAATTTTTTATCTGTTGTTGAATGTCATTAAAATTTTCTAATTTTCACCATCTTTTTTATTTGTAAGCTTAGTAATTTTTTCTTTTAATCGTTTAATTGTTCAATTAGCTGTGTATAATGCATTATATTTCAACATTAATGCTTGAATACTTAATGGTGACAAGATTTTTTCTAAATGAATACCAAATTGAATATGTTCCTCTTCGTCATCAGTATTATCATATATCATATCAATTTCTCGTTTTTTTCTTTGAATACTATTTATAAGAGTATTTTCCTTTTTGATAACAGATTGAAGTTTTTTAAAAGAAGAATCAGATTGTGAAAGAATCGTTGATACCATAGATGGATATAGATTAGGAAAAACATTATGAAGTGCTATTTGCAAGAGTTTAATAGTTTCCAAATGAAAAAGACCCAAAAGAGAATGAAATGACGTGTTTTGAAGTTTGTTTTGTCGAATAAATAAATGAAACCCTAAAAATTCTTTTCCTTTTTTTTTATTTCTGAAAGCGTTTCATCAATTTCATAATCCTCCCAAAGAAAAATTAGTCATTGATTTTCTTCACCAATCATTAATTTGTAAAAGTGGAATCCAGGTGCTATCCAAATTTTTAACGTGAATATATCCTGCATTTATATTATTGAGTTCCGAAATTTCAATATTTTTATCAAAATCTTTGTCCAACTGAAATTCATGAAACTCCTTATGAATGTCTAATACATAAAGCCTTTTAATCTCTCTAACTAGCCAGCTACCATTAGGACATTTATAAGCGGCTTTTGTTTTGTTGAACAAGTGCATTAGCCCACTTTGACATTAGAAAAAATACACGTAATAATAACGCATGGTAATGGTCAATCACAATCATAACGATAATACGTAATAACGATAATGATAATCTAATGCTGCTGTTTTCATCTGTTGTTTTTGGTCGGACGACTTTTTCCATTCAGTTTGCTGTTGTTGGTTGACCATATTTTGTGCTGGTACTCTTCGTTAATAAATGCAGCTTCTTCCAGTCAGATTTTGGCATATATGTTCTTTACGGTGGATTTCCTATCGTAGTAGATCTGTAGCTTGTGTTTTCCTGCTTGTTGGCAGTTTTCGTCCAGTTTCTAAATTCGTAGTCAGTTATGATTCCTCTGAGTTACCGTTTGCGGTTTTAGTTAAATCGATCTGATATTATTGGTGCAATTGTTGGTGCGGTTTTGTGGTTCATGGAAGCATTTTTAAGCGGAAATGACTGGTAAATCCAATATTATCGTATTTCACATAAGATATTGATTACTGAGTTTAAGTACCTTGTTTAACCGAAGCACTAATAAAAATCTTGATAAACTACAGGAACAACTGTCATTAAATTGCACCGACCATTTGGTTTAGCAGAACTATCTTTATAAAATGCAAATTTGAGTGTCAAACACATATATGTTTATCAGCGATACAATGTTGCAAATGCTAAATCAAATCAAACTATGCATACACACACGGATGTCATCAAAAATCCCGACGGTTCAAAATCCTGACCAACATTTACGGCTCAAAACATGACATTGCACTAATGTTATGCACATAAAGCTAAAGTAAGGGTATGTATGCTTTTAATTTTTAACGTCAGGATTCTGTTTCGGGATTTTGTTTGAGTACGTGCGCATATTGTTAGATTTAATCAGGATTCCTACGGATGATCAAGATATAGCGATAGATTCAAAGTGCTGCGGAAACTTTATTACCATTTTTCTTAAAAATGATATAAATAATTATCTCAAAACTAAAATAATTAATAGATAAACTTTTACCGAAGAATTTTTAGAATTCCGTCGAAAAAAGAAAAAAAGTGTAGCTTTTCAAAAATAGCAATGATAACCACATTTTGATGACATCATTCCTATAGCATTCGAAAACTAACGTATCTTTATTCAAAATAATATTGCGGATAAATTTTCTCAAAAACTATTTTGAACAAGTTACCTAAAAACAAAAAAAATAACAATAAATGAATCATCATCGAAGAAATTAAAAGGCTTTTTAGAATTTCGTCGTGAATAAAAAAAGGTTTATATATATTTTCTCAAATCATTCCTATTTTTGATATCATTTCTAACACCATTTGAAACTAACAATTTTATTCGAAGATTTATTGCAAGCAGTCTAAATAAATTGTTCAAACAATTGAAAAACTTAAAGTTTAACAAGAGTAGAGAGAAGAATTTGTATCAGTTTGGAAGCCATATCGATATCTATATGCACTTTTTTTTTGCCAATGATCAACACATTTTGATGGCATCATTCTCTATACCCTTAAACGGATGCTTCACCATTGGTACAATCATTTTTCGGAATGTGATCATGCCAAACAGGCATCCTAAGATAATTGCAAGGTTGTCTCATCAGAAAACACAATCTTACACCAGTCATAATTGAGATGATTGTTTGCTCATTTTGCCCATTGAAGTCAGTTCTTTTTAGCTTGTTGGGCGAGAAGAGGAAAGCATCTTGACAATGTCAAGTACATAGTTGCAATGGAAAATTTATCAATTGTTGATCTTTTAATGCATACATCCATTGAATCAAAATAGTTGTCATATTTTGATTTCTGCCTGCTGCTGCTATTATAAATGTTTGATTGTAGCGATCTGCAAATATGTCAACCTTTAGCAATAGTTTCAGGTAACTTTTTGGGATTTCTTCACATAATGAATCTGAACTTAACTAGATACGAAAACAGAAGATTACCAAACTATTTCTTTTAGCTCTTGATTTACTTTATTTATTGCTGGGTGATTTGCTGGTGTATTGTCCAACATTCTTGATAGAGTTTGACATATTTAGGGGAGCTCCAAATATTGTCATTTCTTTCTCAAGAATATATCCACATTATTGGATGAAAGGCGACCGCGCAAGATTTGTATCGAAATACACTTGAAGAGTTCCACCGTCAGCATATTGCAAAACTAACATATATTTTCCCGAACTATGCTCTGTGTATTCAGTAAATAAATACAATTTTATGCATTTGTCGATCTCATAATTAATGCAATATCGATATCCTACGACTGGTAAACACTAGCGATCTCCACGAAGATCCTATTTACATGAACATGTATTATATATTTAATAGTTTCATTGATTTGATTGGTTAATAAAATCATGTGATTTTATAAATGACAAATTTTTAAACTAAATGACTTTTTATGACAAAAATGACTTGTCATATGACACATTGTCATTTATTTTTAAATGAAAATGTGCAATGTATGGCATTTTTATAATAGCTTGTCGATTTATTAGTGTTAAGTCAATAATAAGCTAGCCTTTATTGTATTTTTTTATTTACCATCTTTTATTTCATTTCTTATTGTTCGATTCATTTCAGAATTAAGCATAACTCATTTTATTTTATCGAAAATGAGGTCGTATTCACTTTCATTAATTAGCTAACGTCATTGATATTGTTCAGACATAAATTTCTAACATTACTTATGAATAACAATATCAGAAATGCTGTGCACCAACAACAGCAACATTGTGCTGCTTTCTTAGCAAACTTTTTTATATCATAAAGCGTGTATAAAGTACCCTCACCTATAAAAAATTTAGTCCATTTTTTTTAGTAAGACAAATTATTTTTGCTGCAAATTGGATAATTCAAAATTCGTAATTAATTACTTCAAAAATTTGATTCCTAAATTAATGGCTTTGGAGTTAAATTAAGTGGTAAAGTTTTCACAGACGAGGGTATCCCTGTAAAGAAAGAAGCACTGTATTTTACACTTAATGTTTGCTGATTAAATAAATGAAATAATTGATATTGGTAATGGCATGACTCTTGATCGTTTTTTCCAAAATCTGAATTCACAGAATTAACCACTCCATCTACTTTCAGAAGCTTTATTGAAGTATAATTAAAGTAGTACACTGTAAGATATAATAGATTACAGTACAGTATTTTTTTAGGACTAATATTTTTGCTTGTGCATTTGCAAAATTTTCAAAATTACTATCAAAATGGTGAAACCAAACTTTCTCTTGACTTATTCTGATGCGTGATTCAAACAACTAAGATTTTGGTGAAACCATGATGATTCCGGTATTACGATTCATATACATGTATATTATTAGAGAAATTTCTAAGAATCTTTATATTGTCAGCCAAAAGCCAATTACAGAAACCTCTCTAAATATAAATGCACACCCTCTAAATGCACGTTTTACTATGGTCCCGGGGGGGGGCATTTAGGGAGATTTGTACTTGTTCCTATCTTTGCAGACATAATGAAACATAAAGGTTATGATTTTGGTAACATATCTTGAAAATTAATAAAAACAGTATATCCACATCATGAAATTGGATTTTTCATCTAATACAGTACCCGACAGCATAAACCATCCAATACTGCGCCAAAATGCCAAAATTTATTGTAGATCTTATACATAAGAATTCATTTGACCAATCAGAATTCTTTAAATCATTATAACTTATTGAAAACAAAAAATCCTCTTACAGAATTATAGTTTTACTAAAGAACCATCAATCTATAAGAGAAATTTTTATATAATTATTGATTATCAAGTTATTTAACTGGTCAATAACTCAATTATGAAGTTCGTTTGGTATTCAATTCTCTTGAAATTTGTCAAATATAAAAATAACAATATCCATTTGATCCATCTTCTTTAGAACAATTTGAAGTTGACATTATTTGCTTGTAGAAATTTACATATGATCATGCTCCAGAATTATTGAAATTGATTATTCAAGAACAAAATTCTCTAAATGAATCTAACAATGAATTTATGCTTAGCAAAGATTCAATCGATTCAGAGATTTCGATAGTAAATTGTGACAACCAGTGATAAGCTTTGTTATTATTGTCCCAAATGCGAAACTCGATTTGCTGATTCTGAAGATTCTGCTTTTTTGAGCGTATCATGCATGTTTAACGCAGCAGGACATATGGTTCATTCTGCCGATGTCAAAAATGCAAGGTGGGGGCTATTCATCGAAAATTTGAAATTACCTTCTTTTCTCGGAATTGATTTCTGATTCGATTATTGGTGACAATACTAGTTAATATCGCGCGTGTTACGTAATCGATTTTCCGAGTCAATCATTTTACATGTACATGTACACATGTACGTATGTATACGTGTGTATATCATTTGACATTGAATGACCAAATGATGTAATCATTGCGAATACATGTACGTATGATCCTAGTTACACGTACATGACGTACATGTACACAAACGCAAATACGTACGTAGCGGTAGGTATCGGTTAATTTTTGATACATCCCTCTTTTTACGAACTATATTGATGAAAGAATTATTCACGAGTTTATAGCTCCCGTAGTAATGCTCTTTTATAGTTTACGGGTATGTTCATTGGTTGTTGTTTGATTGTATGCATTATATCTTTTTTTTACCAGCAAGAAACAATACTGTATTTAGATAAAAATCTAGCACAACTTTAAAAGCAATTGATTTACATTTTCTTGTGGCATGTTTAAAAGTGTATTACAAAGACACGAATGTATTGAAGCAAAAGTAAAGTTAATAACATTGAATTAACGGCGACCAAGAATTATAATTGTCTTAGTCATATCTGTATTATTGACTTGGAGTTAGCATATTTGTTAGTTTACAAGCGTGAAGATTGGAAATTCCCGTCAGAAAGTTATCGATTTATCTACGTATTTGCCATATGTGTAACTTATTTCTCAATTAATTCCTTAAAACTGGCAATAAAAATCAAGATACGTACTTTTCTAGATTACAATATTTCTAAATTTAGCTGTTTAATCGGAGATAACAATAAGGTTTAATACGTATTGATCAACGTTTGACATTACATACTGATACGTTTATCAATTGTAACTCGCACATTTATCAGAAAGACTGTAAAATAAAAGAAAATAGAATGAAAACTGACTCGTTATTGGCTTCACACTCTAATAAGTTGGCAAAGTTTTATGAAAATGCCAAACATTGCGACATTTCGATTATTGTTGGAGAAAATGAGCGAACTTTTACAGCGCATTCGTCAATACTAATGGCGCAGTCGGAATATTTTGCTATTGCTCTTTCCGATGTGTGGGTAAAACGAGAACCGAACAAACTAATCATCTTTAAGAAGCCAAATATTGAACCGCGTATCTTTGAAATCTTAATAAGGTAATCTTGATTTTCAAAACCGTTTGGAATTATCTTAGATTGAAACTAATCGGTTCTTTGTATAACGATAAGATATATGTACAGTGGCGAAATCGATTTGTTAGATCATGGGGTGCCAACGCTTTTCGATTTATTAGTTGCTGCCGATGAATTGATTCTTGAAGATTTAATTGAATATATTCAAGAATATTTGTTGGATCAATGCTCTGAATCTCTGGTTGAAAATTTCGCTATGATTAATCAAATTGCTTTTCAACATAGCTCCTTTATAAAACTTCAGGAATTCTGTACGGAAATTGCATGTAAAAATCCGGCCGCAATTTTCCAATCCAGCGATTTTGCAGAAATTCCAGAGATAGCAATCGTCACTATGCTCAAACGAGATAATTTGAATCTAAGCGAAATTGAAATTTGGGAAAAGGTTCTTGAGTGGGGAATCGCTCAAGTATCCACTTCTGATGACGTTGATTTATCGATTCCAGTGGAGCAATGGTCACAAAATGAATTTAATCAACTCAGCGCTTCACTCGAAAAATGCCTACCATTAATTCGTTTCTTTCATATAAACTCTGTTGATTTCTACAACAAAGTGATGCCATATTCGGAAATATTACCAAAAAAACTTTACAAAGATTTATTGCATCATTACTTGGTACCTGGAAGTGAGGAACAACAAGCATCAGGTCTCCCCATCCGCGATTCGGATAGCCCAGTGTCAACAGTTCTTTCTCGTAACCAAATCAATAAAATAAGTCAATGGATAAAAGAACAAGATATTAAAAAAAATTATCCATTCGACTTTAGACTTGTATTACGCGGCAGCCGAGACGGATTTTCTGCTAGATCTTTCCACCGTTTATGTGATCGCAAAGGTTCAACCCTTGTTGCTATCCGTGTCAAAGGTTCTAATCAAATTATCGGTGGCTACAATCCTATTGACTGGAAAACTCTTGACATAACTTATTCTGGATTAGCGAGCTTTTTATATAAATTCGATTCTGATGACATGATGGGATTAAATGGGACTTTAAGTAGATATAAAACTGGTTCTAGTGTGCATGACTATAAAACAATGGGTCCTTCGTTTGGAGGTGGTTATGACTTGGGTTTGTTTACTTCTGCAGGTAATTATTGTGTGAAATCTTCTTATGAGTCTGGTCTTTTAAGTGACATAAACCAACGAATAACTTTTGATATTGAGGATTATGAAGTATTTCAAATAGTTCCTAGATAAATTTACCTTTTCATAGCGAATTCACAATTCTAATACTTATATTATTTAGCATATCCTTCTAAATTAATTTACACTTCAATAATTATTTTAGCATGTCCTTTAAATTATTAGTTTATTACACGTGAATACTACTGTTTTCTTAAATAAACCATTTTTATGGTCCTCTAGCGAAATTTTATTATCAAAATAACAACATAGGTACATAATAAGTAATTTTAGGATCGATATCCATTTTTACTGTATAGTCAATTTAGATTATGGTGAGAATAATATTGACCAGGAAAGAGAATACCGGCACCAGTTTTGGTAATTACAGTAATTACGCGCGCCAAAAATCATGTTAACCTTTCCTAATCAGAACATTAAATCTATTATATCAAATTAATCGTTTGAGTCCTAACTATTTATTCAAATAATTAACAACAGTATGCCAAAAATGAGTCCCGGATGAATATGAAATCCTCACAGAACACTGATTTAATAGTCGATCTTGATATGTCCATTTAGTGAGGACAGCATTTAAGAAACAAAATATTTCATTATTTTGTTTAAAATTGACCTACGCAATCTGCACACCGCAGATTGTTGTGTATAGATAAAAAAAATCATGCTTTAATACGTATTAACAATCACAATGCGAAGTACTGTCAGACCTCCCTACGTGCAACTCCGCGGGACCATGCAAAAACTTGCACTTAGAGAGGTATTGGATTTATGGAAGTAAAAATACATAAGGGGTTGCACTTAGAGAGGTCTGACTGTATTGATATTCCTGTACATATATCATGCGCTAGATTGTTTTGAAAGTATCGTATTTCGTAGACTAAAGTAGAAAATTTTCAATCTTTAATTTAACCTCAAAGTTATTATTTTAGTAACGTAAATTTGTGATGAAATTGCACTGTGAATTCTTTTTTCAGACTAAATAAAGAGCTAAAGTTTCCAACTTACTTAAATCAATTTATTGTAAGAAACAAACCGAAGTTAATAAATTAGAGACAGAATCGAAGCAAAGAGAACTTAGCGGGGTAATTTAGTCCACAAAAGGTATGGGTGCGCAGATTAATTTTTAAATGGATTTTAGATACTGCATGTCAATAATATAAGCATATAAAATAAATTAATATTTTTTATTTACTAGATATATCATCAGTAGTAAAAAACTTATGAAGATGTAATCAATATACAGTCAGACCTCCCTACGTGCAACTCCGCGGGACCATGCAAAAACTTTCACTTAGAGAGGTATTGTATTTATCGTTATGGAGGTAAAAATACATATATATCTTACAAGTTGGGGCCAAATTAGAATGTGCATTTAGAGAATAATGGCACTTAGAGAGGTTGTGCTTAGGGAAGTCTGATTGTACATTACTTGGGTTTTGGGAAATAATATTCAATCTGTTTTCTTGATAATATTATTAAAAAATGTTATATTTCAAAAGTTGTTATGTTCAATCAACAGTTTTATGACATCTAACGTAGCTCGAAGTTAATGAAAAACTCGAGCTGTAAAATTATTCTAATTTAGAATTTTATACTAAGATCTGAAGTACAAATATTCAATTAACTCTAAATTTTTTCGAATTGCTATTTTCGAAATTTAGTTAATTGAAAAGTAGTTGTGTATTAGCACATTAATATACAGTCAGCACGGAAAATAATAGCGGTAGTGCTCCAACCGGGTCGGGTCGGGGTCAAAGACCCGAAATATTTCGTGTCAGCCTAAAAATCGTTGTTTCTTGTTCAATATTAATTGAAATTAAACGAAGATTTGTGGATATATACACAATTACATTCCGGACAAATCTATTAAGACACAAAATACAAGTGTCTTAGTAAAAATAAACGTTATTAACGAAAAGCTATTTTACGATTTTCGGGTCAAACCCGACCTGACCCGAAATTATCGGTTCGGGTTGACCTCAAACCCGACCCGAACAGAGCTTTAAATGGCGACCAAATTTTTATTAATAAACGCTAAATAAATAATTACGTCCGAAATGCCCATATAGAAAATCAATACTTGATACACTCTCCTTCCGCGTCAATGCAAGCTTGAACGCAGTTCGGCATACTACTAATACAGTTAAGAACCACCTCTCTCCCACTTCTCAACTAACGCAACAAAACCCTCCAATGATAAACTTCCTTTTTTGTGACATCTTTTTTTCCACATTTCGCTTCAAAAATGCCTAGACTTTTTTGATCAGATTAAATATCGTGACTGTACGACGGCTACAGAAGAACGCGGTCGGGTAGTCGGACTTCGATAACATGCTTAACGTCGTTTGAGGTATGCATCAGATCGTTATCTTGCTGGAAAATCCAGCACCAACAACTGTACATATATACTACATGTAGTTGCATTGTTATTCCCAATACAGATGTCGATCCATACTTGTGGAAACGTGCACATTCCGACTTGCCACGTGCACAAATCACTCGCCACACGTGAAGCTTTAACGAATGCTTCACCATTGGTGCAAGAGTTTTTCCGGAGCTCGACCACGCCAGACAGGTATTACGAAAAACTGCAAGGTTACTTCATCGGAAAACACAAGCTTGCGCCAATTATAATCAAAGTGGTTGGATGCCCATTGAAATCGGTTTTCTTTCGCTTGCGGGGGCAAAGCAGCAGTATAACCGAGCCTATAAATCACGAACAGTTTGAACATTTACTTCAAATCTAGTGTGCGTTTCTTCAAGTCGCGCTTTTATTTCAGCTGCTATGAGAAAATAGTTTCCAAGTTTGCGACGCATCTCAGGAGAAATTTTACGTGGACAACCAGGACGATGAATAACCGGAATTTTCCATTTCTTTGAAGTAAAACAACATAGCGTTTGCAGGAGCGAAACGGAACGCCAGTTTTTCGTGAAATTTCGGCTGCATTGTGGCGCTATCTCTCCAGAATTTCTTAACCATTTCGCGGTTGGATTTTAAGGAGTTAATAAACTAATTAGAAAGGAAATAAAATAAGAACAGTAAGGCTTAGAAATCCATTTTAAAACACTAATAAAAAGTGCTTGATATAGTAGATTAATTAGTTATAAGATATACTGTAACGATGTTGCCTTTATTTACTAACACTAATAATTAAACACACGGTGAAGTTCACTTCAACTAAGAAGCCCATTCCAACTAAAAACTTTGTTAATGTGGATTCCTTCATTATATATGGAGATTCACTGTGTATATATAGCGACATGATGAAACATGTGATTTATAACCAATAGACAATTTTCCGTCGTTCACGTTTTTATTTCCATAGCTCAAGGTTAATAATCAGGTTGTTCAAACATTAAGACAACTCTATAAAAAAAGACAAGCACGTAAAATGCATGTAAAATATACGGAAATCGCAAGAAAGAGCACGTAGGCACGTAAACGCGACAAATTTCGTATACATAAACACGCGTTTCGGGCATGGTTTTGCTGATGCGGAAATGACAGAAATTGTTATCCCGTGCGGTTCCATGTAAAAAAAAACCTGTATTTTACGTGCTTGCCTTTGTTTTATAGGGGAAGTTAAGAAATGTGTCAAACAATATTTAGTCATGCAAATTGCAGTTAGTGTTCTCGGATTCTCGAGAATATCTTTGTGTATAAGTCATTTAGAATGTAATTATAAATATAATCTTCATCAATAGCAGCACCCAATCGTCCGATTATATATACAGTCAAACCTCGTTATAGTGTTCGGGCTATTAGTGAAAATTTTCAAAAATTCACTATATCGAGTTTATTAATAAATTTATTGTGACAGATCAGATTAAAATGAAATCAGATTATAATAAAATCAATCAAAATTTTTTTTTATGAGATAAAAATTTCAAGGTTAGAGCATATCGATATAGCGATAGTATTAAAATCTGTAATATAATTACATGTATTTAAACATTTTAATAATCCGTCACAATATCAGTAGCACATCTGGAATGTGTGCCAGTTTCGTGCCACAGACCAATAAGGATGTGCGAATTTTTGATCAGCCAGAAAAACAATCCGGCGCAAAAAATGAAAAATGCGAAAAATACGGAAAATGGATGTTCAAATCTAACTTGGAGTACTAATAAAAAATGTCGGTGAGGCAATTTTACATACAACCTTGATCTCAACTCTAACCCTAACCCCAACTCTATCGCTATCAACTTTTGGGTAATTTTATGGCTGCGGCACGAACTGGCACACATTCTATCTAGAGTTTAATTAGTCCTTCACTATATCGAGAGTTCACTATATCGAGAGTTGACTGTACATCATGCCCCGTTTTATATAGAAATCTGTTTAAAGCTCAAATTTAAGTAAAAAGCTCGCTAATCCTGAATAATGATTTCCATTGCAACCACCGATAATTCCTTAGACACAAACAGCGACAATGGTTGAGCCCTTGCGATCAATGGAAACTGTTAGCGTTAGCAGTAATCCCACGTTTAAAGTCGAATGGATAATTTTTGTTATTTATTAATTCGGTTGCAGAAAGACTCACTGATATTGACGAATTATGAATGGAATGAAGTGACGCTTGTTCCAGGTACCAAGTAAATCTTTGATACGGAACTAGTTCCAGAATATATATGGAATTATTGCGCATTTTCCGAGTCAGTTCCTGAAATTGCGCTAATTCCGAAGCAGTTCTTACTATTTTTTGATGCAGTTCCCCGCGATTTTTTTCATAGGTATGGTATCACTTGTTATAGAAATCAACAGAAAAGAACGAATTAATTGTAGACAATTTTTGAGCATAGCACTGAGTTGATTGAATTCATTTTATAAAACTGCAGCCTGATTTTTACAAAAGATCATAGCAAAATTTCAACCATGGATTTGTTCCAAAAGTTGCATTTAATTAAACCTTCAAGAACTAATGCCGCAAAATTTGTCAGCGAAAATGCTTATATTGTAAATAACGATAATTTAATAACTTATTTCAAATAATTAATTATGGAATTAAGATAATTTTATTTAATACGTTGTGTTTTATACATTATATCAGTCCTAATAACATACTTTCTTCCTTCAATTACTGCTGAACCCTCATGTAGCAAATCATGCTGAAATATTAAAACCATTCCTGTTTTTGGCACAACTTTAACTTCATCCCTGTTCAAAGAATAAGACAAAAAGCTTGTTTCACCACCAACGAATCCCTCATTCAAATATAACTGGAAAGTGATGCAACTTTTTTCATTGCCATCTGGGCGAACATAAGTTCCATCACAATGCGCTTCAAATTTCTGTCCCGGATCGTATCGCAAAAACCGCAATCTTTCATTGAGTCCGGCCACAGGTTTATCATACCAGAGAGCAGGAACGAATTGTTCGATTCGTTTCCAAAGGATATTTGTTATTTCGACATCATCTCGAATGTATCGATAATTATTTCTTACATCAGTTATTATTTTTTGTCGTCCATAGCCTACGTTTATTAAGGCGATTTCATAACTACCAGCTTCAGAAAGGTTGATTAGAGCTTGACATTCTTCTGGAGTGCATACATTGTCGATTGTGAACGCCAGGGGGTTTCGTTCGTTCAAAAAACTCAAATCGACTGGTATTGCAACTAGCGGATATGTTGGAGGATTTTTTAATAGAATTTCTGCCATTTTTCGATTTTTAGCGTAGTCATTTCGGGTTTAAGTACTTGCTATCCGCAGATATGCACTACGTAGTTTGTAAAACATGTCACAATATTGTATGACGTATTTGAACCAACCAAAGATAGCAAAACGGTAACATAAGCCAACGATAATCATATGCGCAGTTTCGCAACAGTCATTCATACAGGAATTAACGGAGAAAATTCCAGCATAATCTAGTAATGGAATGAACAAGTGTTCGAAATCACTCGAATTTTCATGCATATTTGTATTTGTAACACGTTGATCGTTATTTAATGTGATGGGTTGCGAATAAATTAAAGACTGAATAACATTTGATATTAAATAAATCGATTCTAAAAACTAACTCAAAATGTTTGCCTTCTATCCGCCACATCATAGCAACTATGTCTATACTCCTTATCAACCACGGTTCTATAAACCAGTTAGTCCGATAGCGCGCAGTCGCAATGAATCATATTACGCCCCTACAACACCTATGTATGATTTAGTCACTGATCTAAACGAACAAGAACAACGACGACGAGCACAGGAAGCAGTTCAACAGCAACAAGAACGTCACGAACGAGAAAATCAAGCTCGTCAACGGGCATATAGACAATGGCTTCACGAGAAAAAAGCAACGCGTGAAGCAATGAAGCCATTTGAACAACGAACTCCACCACATTTATGTCCGAGTAACAATGACATAAATCTTAACAAAAGTCCGCGAATTAGAAGAATTCCAATTCAATCTGGTAGCATCAATTAATCCCTTCTACAACTACAAAATCGTCACCTACAATATTGCCATCATTATTATGTTTATTTGCAT